GCATACTCGAACCGTCCTGACCGCGTAGCTCAGTTGGAAGAGCATTGGGCTAGTATTCCAAAAGTCGTAGGTTCGAATCCCGCCGTGGCCAGGCCAGTGGCGCCGGCAGAATTTATTTTGGGGGGGCAAATCATTCGAGTGCCAAAGGCACGAGCCTACTAGGGGGGTTCGGGGGTATGCCCCCCCGAGAAAATTTTGAATTTTGGGTGTCTAAAACCGCATTTCCTGCGCTTTGGAGGCACTTTAAGAGAAACATAAAAGTTTTAATAAATCACTTTTTTAGTAGATCGATACATAAGTGATTTCCATACAATATATGAATCAAATGTATATTTAATAAAACCAAGAATGAATTGAAGAATTTAATGTTATAATACATATTTAGTTACCAGTGGGGTAGCCAGACCTTAATTTTTTGGGGGGCGAACTTTTGAGACCGCCTAGGAGGGTCCGGGGGTATGCACACCCGGGAAAATTTTGAAATCTAGGGTCCCTGAATTGCGATTTCAAGCATTTTGGGAGTGAAATTCCGAAGAGTTCCGAAGATTATAAAGTACATCGAAGACATGAATTTTTCCAGACATTTGTACTCGGAATTAATGTTATAATATATGTTATAATACACAATGTTATAATACACCATTTCCGCATTCTCAAAATTGCGTTGCTTTTTCATACGATACAGAATAAATCTGAGAAGAAATATTCATGCTATGATGATGAATACATGTATTTAACAGTTAAAAATCTAAACTAAATCTATTCTTCTTGGAACCAGCATTTTATCGGATTGTTTGCATGAAATCAAATCGCTATTATGAAATACTCGGTGAAGAACAATATGAATTACACACAGTGGCGCCGGCAGGATTTTTTTTTTTTGGGGGGGGGGAATCATTCGAGTGCCAAAGGCACGAGCCTACCAGGGGGGTTCGGGGGTATGCCCCCCGAGAAAATTTTGAATTTTGGGTGTCTAAAACCGCATTTCCTGCGTTTTGGAGGCACTTTAAGAGAAACATAAAGGTTTTAATAAATCAATTTTTTAGTAGATCGGAACATAAGTGATTTCCATACAATATATGAACCAAATGTATTTTTAATAAAACCAAGAATGAATTGAATAATTTAATGTTATAATACATATTTAGTACAAGTTCCATCTTAGCTTCGGGGAGCTGCGTCGGTAAATCGTTCAACGAGTCCTTCGATGTCGAGGTTCCGACAAATGTCAGATTCCACGGACATGAGCATCAGCGATTCTAGTCGATCTTGCCTCATCGTCGACCTCAGGCGATTTTTTATTATTTTCAGCTTGGAAAATGATCTCTCAGCAGATGCTGATGTCAAAGGGAGAGTAAGGGCAATCTTAATAATTTTTGACAATTTGGGGAAGCATTCGGGTTCTTGAAGAAGTTTCGTTTCCTTTGCCATTACACGCAACCGTACACTTGACAACCAAATATTTACACACCGCACCCCC